TACAGGGTTGGATCCAGTTAAGAGCTTGGGCAGCACATCAAACCTTTAAAGACTCGCCTTTACACAGGAAGCCAGCATCTTGAGGTAGGCATTTAGGCTTTTTATGTGGTGCCCAGGAAGAGTTAAGGCTGAATGTAATCCAAAATACCACTACCTGAGGTGACAGCCAGGTTGCCTCTGAGGCAAAGAGATGCTTATAGCTGATGTCTGAGGCAAATAGGATACATGGGCAAGCCCCATTTTGTCATTTTGCTTTCCATTTTGCAGGGCTCTGTCAGCTTGAATTCATTGCCAGGAACCTTACTCACAAGAATCAGTGATTTTTTTGAAGAACTGAGAATGATTTGTCATTTTATTTTAAAACAATGTTGGAAGACATATTACACCTTCCTATCCTCCTGTACACAAGTAAACAGTTTTTATTCTGTTGTTTGCTTTTTGCTGAAATAAAGCAGCCATGGCAGAAGGGAGAGATTACTCTTCTGCACCTGATCTAGTCAAAACTCGCTCACCCTTCTGTTTCTTCCAAGAGCTCAGTTATTATTAGTGATGTGGTGAGACTGTGGTGGGAAGAAGCTGTGTTCTCTGGCTTTCCTGCCATAGTTCTACCAGTTGTATTTAGTTACCCCACAGAGAGGATTTTGATATTTATTGGATCAGAAGAAGATTAGGATTTTGATATCTAATGGCCAGGAAAAGGTAGAGAGAAAGAGGGAAGTGTTTTTCTGTTTTCCACCTGAAGGTTTCTTCCTGTAAAGTTTGAAGGAGGAGACTGAGCTCTGCTCTCTCCAATGCTGCACAAGTGTTTTCATCTCTGAGTTAGCAGGCAAAAGGCTGACATTCTGTGGCTCCTTTAGTTGCATTTTGAGTTGTATTTTGCATGGATGTCAAGCCTGCCTGTGCATGTTAGAAAGCACGCTATGAAAGTAACTGCATGACAGATTTCCTGTGGGAGCATAGGGTAGCACTACCCATGTATCCCCATTGACTTGTTTCCATCACTGGAGCCATTGAATCCCCAGTTTGTTTGCACACACCATTTCAGCTTCATTTTCTCAATCATGTGCAAACCTTAGAAAATGCAGTAAATTTACCTAATAAATGATATTATGTGTGTGAATCTACATGTACACACGTGCACACATATGTATTTTCCAAACAATGCTGATGTGTTCTTACCACACGTTGCACTGTCTGGTCCACAGTGTTCCTTCATGATTGTTATATTAATAATGCAGGCTGAAGTAATTCACCCTTGTATTCAGAACTGGATAAATAAAATGGTGTTCATTTATGAGTAGCCTTAAGTGCTTCGTGATGGTTTCACTGCAGTTAAATTATGCTGATGATAATCTTTTAGAGATGTTTTTTAAAATGCGATGCAGTACGCTTTCTTATGGAATATGGGATGTCTCTTGCAATGAGAGACACATTTGGGGCTTGTCACTAGTTGGAGACAATCTGGAATTTAGAAATGCAAGTAACTATCTAGAGAATTGTAATGCCTGGCTTTTATAATTTATTTAAATTTAGATGTGGGAAATGCCTACAATAGTTTCACTTGTAAAATGGAGTTGGATTTTACGGGACCAGAAAAGTGCCTAGAAAAAATGGAAGAGGCTTATTATATTGTAAAGTTGTCAACACCAGCTCATTCTGTGTAAAGCAAAAGCTGTTAGGATGACTGTTTTCCACAGAAAAAGCTGAAAATCCTTTTATCTGTCCTATTTTTTTGTTGTTGAGTTGTGACATAACTTTAAACTACCATTTTTTAAAGTAAATTAATCCTTCTTATGCCAAATGAATCACATCTGCTGCTTTCTGTGTATCTGGAGTAGTAAATACCTGTAGTTTTACTCTAGCACCAAATCTATTAATTAATTGAAATGTCATAATGGTATAGCATTCAGATGAGGCCATGTATTTTTAGTTCTTTTCCTCAAAGGACTCAGTGGGAATATATGTGGACTTCAGTCCTATAAGGAAAGACATCTACCTGATTAATTTCTAAATTCACTAGTGACCATAGTCTAAATTTATTGCAAATCTAAACTAACAGAATAGGCCAAATTTGCTTCAGGGGAAAATGGAAAAAGTAAGCTGAACCTTCCTGGATGTTCATAGCAGGGATGTTTACAAACAGAGGTTGTAATAGGTTAAGAATGACATAAGATGCCCTAGAAACATTGTTAATGAAAGTGCCATTTGCAGAAGCTGGCAGCTGTAGTAGGCACATAGTTTACTCCTCTGGGGATCTGAGTGCTTTGGATCTGTCCTGCCAGCCTTGCAGAAACATGCTGGTAGCAGTGCCTTGTAACCCATGCTGCTCCTGCCTAGGCAGACATTAACTCACCAGGCTAAAGCAGTCAGAGCTGACGGAAGATTATGGCTCCGTTAAGTTGGAAATGATCCATTTTTAATTACCTTGTGCAGCAATAGCTTGCAATTCTGTTTGTATTCTTCAGAGCTTCTGTTAACGCTCCAAACACCAAAACCTGACACAAACAACAGAATGAATTTGCTGTCCTTAAAAACATTAAGACCTGTGAATCTCTTGGGGCTATCCAGTTTGAAGTCTCATAGCTGTTTGCTGTGTATTTCATTACAAATCATTCTTATAGATGGAGTGGTTATTTATGCTGCGTACAGGGGCAGATCCGTTGCCAGTCAAATTCCTCCCAAAGGGCTCGGTACACGTAGAGAATAGGAGGAGCATCAGCAGCATTACAGATTGCAGCAAACACTTCTCGTGCAAAAGGCAGAAGAGCAGAAAGGAGAAATCTTTAGAGGAGAGAAAGAGGAAATACAGTGATTGAGAGAAAACTATGCTGCTTGAGGAAGAAAAGACATAAACCGACAATCAAGTGCATCAGGTGTCACACAGGCAACATGTCTCGGCCACCAGGAAGAAAGCAGGAGAACCACAAAATAGTAAGACATTTTTGTAATGTGCGGTTAAAATTGTGCATGGTGTAAGAATAAGCTATTATTGTATTGGTGTGTTTTATATGGTCATAATTCCGAATAGCCTGAATGTACTGAAAGGATGGGGATGAGTCTGCCAGTATGAGAACAGAAGTGCAGACAGCAATTATGGCTACAGTGGGACCCTCTTGTGAGCTGCCAACAAGCTGTCAGCTATTAAGCAGTGACGTTAAAAAGCCTGTCCATAGGACTTGAAGTCTGTTTGATTCTGAGCAGTAACACTCAGATTTGCTCATACCTCTCCAGCTACCTTGTCTATGACATGAGATTATTTTGAGACGGTCCTGCCCTCAACATGAATCCTTGAGGCTAAACTCTGTTCTTGTTTTGGAGAAAAGAAGCTTCACTGGCCACATCTCTACCTCAGAAATAGTTGAAGGAAGAGATGGTTCATCTGGGGCTGCAGCATACCTGTTGCCCACTGTATGCCTCCTGCATAGCAGACCACGTCTTCTTCTGGGGATTATGTTGCATGAGCAGGGGTCTTTCTTCATCCTCCTAATGTTGCAGTTTTGCACAGGGAGTGCACCATCACAGGGTCATAGAATCATAGAATCTAGAATGGTTAGGGTTGGAAGGGACCTCAAAGATCATCTAGTTCCAACCCCCCTGCTGTGGGTAGGGACACTCTCCACTACACCAGGTTGCTCAAAGCCTCAAAGAATCATAGAATCGTAAAATGGTTAGGGTTGGAAGGGACCTTAAAGATCATCTAGTTCCAACCCCCCTGCCATGGGCAGGGAAACCCTCCACTACACCAGCTTGCCCAAAGCCTCATCCAACTTGGCCTTGAACACTTCCAGAGATGGGGCAGCCACAGCTTCTCTGGGCAACCTGTGCCAGTGCCTCACCACCCTCAATGTAAAAATTGTCTTCCTTATATCTAATCTAAATCTCCCCTGCTTCAGTTTAAATCCATTGCCCCTTGTCCTATCACTACACGTCCTTGTAAAAAGGTCCTTCTTTAACTGCGTGATCACACAAAGCAGTATTCTGTGCTATTAAAGATGCCAGTTAGTCTCCTTCTTGTTCGCTGGCAGTGGTGTGTCTAAATGCAAAAAATTCAGATAGCAAGTTTCCTCGGAATCTCTATCTGTGGTTGAAAATTTCTGTTTAGGAATATTTTACCACAAGTCCAAAATACCAAAGTGCCATATTGCAGAAATAAGGCCACAGTGGTTTAAAAAACCTGCTAATAGTCTTGTGTCTTGAAGAGAATATGTTTGCATCTAAAAGCGTAACTATGAGACACGTATATATGTATACATACACATAACAAGCTGAAGAGAGAGGAAGTTGCTAGTTAGGAACAAAGAATATAGACAACTGTAGAAGACTGATAACTAAAGTGCTGAGATTCTAAACAGGTTTAGGAAAGATGAGCACAAAGTTTCTGAGACTGGAGTCTGTCTAGAAGCAGAGGTCTAAGTGCTTAGAGAGATTTATGGCCAAAGATAGAAATGTCAGGTAAGTTTATGTGCCTCTGTGCTTAGATAGCCATTAAATAAAGCACAGAGAAAAAGAGATCTCTGTTCCTTCTTTGGATGGTTCAACTCCACATAAGTCTTTCTTCAGGAACTTAGAGCCTTAAGGCTGTCTGGATGGTTAATGATGATTTTTGCTAAGAGTTGGGGCAGTGGAGAAGTCCAAGAAATCTTGAGGACAATGTTGTGCCAATTTCTGAAAAGGGGACAGAGATCTCCTCTGAAAAAAAAAAAAAAAGACTATATTATAATTAATGTTAATATACATAAATTGATGGGAAAAAATAATCCAACTGATCACAAGAATGGCTGATAAATGCAATTTTCTTGATATAATATGCTTAAGTTTCTCTAAGGTGTTTGTCTTATTAGAACACAGACTTTTTGCTGAGACTAGAACAGTACAGAACCCGTATGACATCTATTTACTCCATTCAAAACTTGTTAACAGGAATCTGGCATTATGCAATATTATTGTAAACAGAAGTTATCACCAAGGCGAGTTTAGGAAATATTTCCATACTACTTGAGATTTTGAGCAGTGACTTTTTAAAGGGAACATTGATTAAACTGCAAGCTTTTGATGCAATGGGAGCAGTAAGAGGTCTTTCCACCAAGCCATTCTTCCTTGCCTTGTGTGCTTGGTTCTATTTTTTCATTGGTATTCACTATTATTTTTCCACACGCTATAAACAAAAAATGCCTCTAGTCTGCCCATGTGCCACAGGCCTGTAGCACTTCCTTTAATTAATTCCTGTCCAAGAAGTTAGTGAGTCAATCTAGTCTCTCCTCTAAAGGCCAGCTGCTACTCCTGCTAAATACGGTCTATTCTACAGTGCCATGGAGGTGATCTGGCATGGCAGGGAGGCAAGAAAACTTTCCTCCAGGTTGGTGCACAGCTAAAGACCCCAGACTAGTATTTGTGACAGGATCTGTGCAGCAACCTCTTCATTTGCTCTCCATGCTCCTTGGGCAGGCAGCTGTAATTCTCCCCCATCCCTTTCATCTTGCTCATCCAGTGGATCCATACCAACCACGTCCTCTGTTTTAAGATACAGAAATAATGTCACAGTGAGATTGTCCAGGCATTTGGAGAGCTGGCATTGATAATGATTCAAGTTACTTGTAAAGTCTGATAAAGAAGGGAAAATGTCAATGTTCTCTTCTACTTTCCTTATTATTCTTTAAACTTGAGCTGAATGATGGTATTTTTTTAATTTTTCTGAGCTAATTTGTTTTTATCTACTTTTTAAATTATTTTTGGGAGGGGGAAGCAGCTGATGATCTGAATCGAATCAGCCATATCTTTGTGAAGGAACTGGAATTTCAGGGTATACACCGTTGTTCCTGTTGTAAAAGGACTAACAGCTCATTTTCTCAATTTTTCTTCCTGCAACTAAACACTTGTCAGTGATCTTGGATAGCATTTGACAGCATTTATCAATTTAACATGTGCTGTTATAGGATGCAAGAATGTACCTGATGAAATTAGCTGTATCCCAAGAAATGGTATTTCTGACAAGCAGAATCCCTGCACAGGGACTCAAGTGACAATCAAGTCGGACTGTCACACTTGAATTGTGGATTTCGGTGATTACACATCCATGGACAAAAGTTTCTTGATTAATGTAAATGTTATTTTTGCTTGCTTTTAATACAGTAGCAGCTCAAAAATGTGAAAAATTTTGACTCTAGTTTGCTTCACTTTCAATTTCCACCTTTTCTGGCAGAGCAAAGAACTTTTTGTACTCACATATGGGGCTTTGGTAGCTCAGCTGTGCAAGGACTATGAAAAAGATGAAGATGTCAACACCTGTTTAGATAGAATGTAAGTACTGCTTTAAATATTCAGCTGTATCAATGCTATTTGACCATCTGCGTATTGTGTTTCAGCTTTATGTCTGTTATCTTATGAGTTCCAACACTAGGATTACAGAGAGTACAGGGTTAAGGTTCAATATTCTGTCAACAGAAATAACACTAATTTGTGAATGAAGATCAACAATCACCCTTTGAATTCTCAGAGAAAATCATCAGGGTTGTTTTGACAGCTTACACTTGTTCCTTGTTGGTCCTTTGTTAAGCTAATTAATTATATAACCTTCTAAATGTCATCTCCTATTTACATGTATTCTTTTTCAATTTCCATGTTAACTCTCTTCTATTTCTTGATACCCATGTTATTTTGAACTAGACGAGCTTTTCGTTTCTCAAAGGTCTTTTCTAGTTAACATGTATTTCTATGGTCTTCCTATGGCTTCCCCTCATCTAGCTACACTGTGGTTTTGGGACTTGGACAGCTAAGAAGTAGTCACAATTCCAGGTTGTAAGGATTTGGCTTAGACTAAGTCAATAGGCAGACTCCTTTGGTAGTCAATCACCTTTCCTGAGGGTGTAATTGAGGTGTCTGACTTGAGCTCTCTGAATTGTCCCCTGTGGGGTGGCTCTCTTCCCCTGCCAACACCACCCACTCCGCCCTGGGTTAGGGGCAGATGGCCCTCTCACCTTTAAAAGCCCATACAACAATGAGTGATATAGCAGTAATGGTCAACGAGGAATTGATTTTTACATGGATAATCTCTGGAAAATGAAGCTCCTATGTTTTTAGGATCCTATCATCCTGACTGAGATTCCTAGGCGTTGTCACAGTAAAAATAATCAGCAAGAAACAACTTTTGAGGTGGTTGACAAGATGATAAGCTAAGATCTTTGGCTTGTGTTTTCAGGCAAAATGGACATGCAAAACAGATTTACAACAATCACAGTGGACAGAATAACCAGCGATTTGACTATTAATCTGAAAGCTTGCAAACAAGTTGTAGCAATAGCTATTGATGTGTTACCAAAAATCCGGAATAAGAAACTTATCAACACCAATGGGATGTGGATAAGCAGACACTTCTTTATTGCGGCGCCGGGTGCACGGGGGATATCTCCTCCTAGCGTGCGTACCTTGCACCAAAATTAAACTTCTTATATAGAGCTTACATATGCAAATCCATTAGGTAATCATACATAAACATATTATTTCCTGAAAATCATTAGCATATTCTCCTCCCATTTCCGATTCTGTGCAAGAAAAGTTAGAATCATCTAGAAATGAGTCTGGGGTGTAATATGGGTAGGTGGTCTGTGAGTCAATGGTCGCGATCTCCCCCTGCCGGAATTACCTTTTGCTTAAGTTCACGGTTTCTGGCAGGTACCCATAGACCATTACGAAACCATTATGGTTGGCTTTCTTCATCTTCATTAATCTAGACCTTGATAGCTACATGCATTCTTCTAGTCCTATGTAGCTATCATAAATCAGTTTACAAATCAACTTGTGCTTTGTACTACATGTTCTTACTAAATGAATCTGACCTATCCCTTTGGTCCTGGTTCAGGGCTATACAGGGAGTTTCATAGCAGCATGTGATTACTATACAAGCATACTTTTCATTAAAAAGGTTTCTTATAATTCTATATTATTAAAATCAACTACAAAACCATATTAATTACAAACTATTGATTAAATTTTAATTACCAAAATTCTAAGTATCAGTAACATTTTCCCCCTTTGAAAGTATTGAAAGCTATTTCAATACTTTGACCACTTTCACTTTTATTGTTTAATACTTACTTATCATCATGTTCAAGGCTAAGATTAGTTTCAGCATATTTTGGTGATGAACCGTAGTCTGGTGGAATAGTAGGTAACTCTCATGATTCTGCGATTGATTGCAATTCTATTAGCAAACTGTTTCTTTAAGCAATTGTATAATAGAATGATCATCAGGAAGACAATTAGCAACAGAAACAGAGTTTTAATCAAAGATTGGATCCAAGAGCTTAGATTCCAGCCTAGTCCTTTGAAAATTTTTCCTATCCAATCTTCTGACATGTCCTCTCGGATTGATTCTGTTTCTTTCTCAACTTTTTCTAGCAAATCCAAATCATGCTCCACATCCTGTGTAACGTTTGGGATGTGTATACAAGTGGTCTAACTTTGAGATATCCACATACCCCATGTTCTTTGAGTAGTCTAAAGCCACTCTATTTTGAAGTGTCATTTTAGATGTTGCTTGCAATTGAATGTTTAATTCTTTGAACCCTTTCTTTGTAACATTTGCTAACTCCTCGACTTGACTTGTTAAATGATACAGCCATTCTCTGTTTCTATACGAGGCTATAGGATTTAGAAGAGACTCAAGAGCCCAGCTGATTTTCAGTCCTGTCGATGGTTCGTTCCAAATATCATCTGTCTCAGACCTTTTAGTTCGTTTTAGATTTAGATTTTCTAAGGGTCCTTTAAATGGTGATTTTTTCCAAATTGGACATAATGTTGGCATGCCTAAGGTAATTTGTTTACCTTTACCATCTAATGGTAAGTGAGTTGTCCAGGTTCCATCATTTAATGCCCAAACCAAGTGTCCAGGACTCTGGATTGTACTTTTCTTACAACTTAAGAATGTTCCTTTTTTAATTTGATAATCTGCAGCCAATTGAAGATCATTTTTGAGTCCTCGACAGAAACACCCATACCTCACTGCAGCTGCTAAAGGGGGAATTTTTGTATTATTTTACTTACTGTACTACAATTGTAAATTTTTTCACATTTCCACCAGGGTACTGAACTTTCCTTTTTAGTGACGTAGTTCCTCTATCTGTCACTGTTGGCCAAACTCCATAAACTGACCCTACCCACGTAAAACACCAAGGGGTTTTCGCCATGTATTGAAATTGGGAGAATATAGCCATAGACCAAATTGATTCCCAAGTAAGTTCTTCCTTTTATGAAGTTTCAACATTTTCTTTACATTTCCATTCCATTATTGTACGGCTTATATTCGTTTTTATTGGTTCATCATAAGAACACCATCCATAACCATATCCTGAATCTAGTCCTGTCAAACCTCCACTGATGTCTACAAAGTTTGAATTCAGTAATTTTGTACATTCAGCTTTACTTCCTGGGGACTTCCATTGTTTTCTAATGTATCTCACTTGTTCATACCATTGAGTCACTGGCTGTTCACAGTGAGTGGTCTCATTTTTATGTTCCTGATTAATCAAATTCATAGTTAAGATTCCCCATGGAATAGATTCACCTACCGCTCTTGGTATGGGTAAACAAGCAGTAATCTGTGTAACATTCTGCAAATTGGCAAATCCTTTAATTAATCCTAATATCAAATTTTCCTCAGGTGTTTGTTTGGGAATTTCAATCACTTGTTCTGTTTCTAATTGTCTTTTGTTCCTACTCACCAAGTCAGTCCATGGTTTCACTAGTACTGCTTTCCAGCATAAGATCCAAAGAACAATTAAAAACAGATATAAGAAATTAGACATGTTTCAGAGTCAGTTTCAAAGTCTCTGGGTCACGATTCACAATTTTCCAGGGTGCTGGTGCTTTCTTCACTCGAGTGTAATGTATCCAGGCTGTAGATTCTGCAATCTTGACTGCTGTGAAGGTTGTCAGCAATATTTGAAAAGGTCCTTTCCAGCGCTCTTGCAGAGGTTCAGAAGTCCACGTCTTTACGTAGACATAATCTCCTGGTTGGAAATCATGCACTGGAGTGTCTAAAGATAAAGGTCGATTCCAAATCACAGCACTCCGAATTGCAGCTAAGGTTTTCCCTAGAGAAAGCAAATAGTTATATACATCTTGTTTTCCTTTTACGTGCATATTTGGATTTGGTTCCGGGGACTCATAAGGTTTTCCGTACAACAATTCATAAGGACTGATAGAGGTTCCACTCTTTGGCTGTACTCTGATTCGAAGTAATGCCAAAGGTAATGCTTGAGGCCATTTTAAATTTGTTTCTTGACAAATTTTACTTGTTTGTCTCTTTAGAGTCTGATTCATTCTTTCTACTTTTCCACTGGATTGTGGCCTCTAGGATGCACGTAAATCCTAGGCAATGCCACAGTAAAAATAATCAGCAAGAAACAACTTTTGAGGTGGTTGACAAGATGATAAGCTAAGATCTTTGGCAGAAGAGTAAAGCTTGTGTTTTCAGGCAAAACGGACATGCAAAACAGATTTACAACAATCACAGTGGACAGAATACCCAGCGATTTGACTATTAATCTGAAAGCTTGCAAACAAGTTGTAGCAATAGCTATTGATGGAAGTGAGTAAAAATATCATTGACTGGAAAAAAGAAAACTAATTTATTCACTAAGAAGGGGCAACATCCCTCAGATGTTCATTTGATATTAATCCCTCATTCAGCTCTGATGAAAATCATACATTTAAACAATTCACAGACTTCTTTCTGATGCTATAGTAGAAATTACTAAAGGGTAGTTTTGGAAGATGTGGAGACATATTTTGCTGTTTGTGTTTTTTTATTATAGCAGTTTTTATAAAATATTTTTTCTCTTGATAAAGAGAAGGACTTGATAAAATAATGACAAGTTTCATTAAAGCATTCATTTCATTAAGACTATTACTTCCATGCAGATGAAAACAGCTCAATTTGAGGAAGAAACCTTATAGATTAGCAGACCTGTGACAGCTGGGAACAATAGTCTTAGGTCTCTCTCTCTATGTATGTACATATATAATCCATAGTGAGAAGGGTGTTTTTCACTATACAGTTGCCAAATAGCTGCTTATCAATTTATTATTCATTTGAGTTTGCAAATCTAAGGCATAAAAATTGAAAAGGATCTAAGTAGTCATGTACATCACCAATAAATACCTTGCTAACTGCTGCTGACATCTTTATCAACATTAATACTGATACTTAGGCAATAAATATTTCATTGTTTTCTGATGCATGACATACTGCAATTTTAAACTTCATGCTGCCAAAACCACTTTTTGGTCTTGTCATCGCATTAGATGTCAGATCATTTTTTGGCTTCTTGTCAAAGACGTGGTACAAAATCAATAAGAAACTGCATCGAGTTCAGGCTGCTTCACTGAGGGTGTAGGGCCTCTGACAAACCTGCAGAGACTGCCAACATCCACATAAATGGAAACAAAAAATTCCCGAAAAACATTTCTGAGTTGAGTTCACATTCTTTCCTAACATTTATGTCAATCTCTTTCCCCTTTTTCAAAAAACGCTTGGAGGCATAGCTATTTTACACATTGTGTAGTTGCTGACCTTTATTAATGTGTGAGAGGTAGGAATGAATATTTGTTTTATAAAAAATTCCATTAACTTCCATCCTTTTTTATTTAGTTTGTCTGAAACTGTAGTGTAAAATACAAAATGAAGGTGGTGTTGTACTGAAACTGTATATTACCTAGCAATTTTTGGATTCTTTCTGCAACTAGTAGATGAAGGGAGAGAACACGTTAGAAAAAAGACAAAGAGGGAGTGTGAAGGAAGAGTGAAAAACGAGATGAAGAGATAAGAGGATAAAGTGAAAGAGATTGGGTGTGAGTTCATTTCCTATGGGTTTTCCATGCACCTGAATGCTGCAATGAGGGTGCCCAGGATTTGCCGAACTCCCCACCAGCCCAGGGATGAATGCTGTGACCTGGAGGGGCAGTTGCTCTGTTCTCCTTGACAGAGGAAGTGTGAGATGAACTCTGGGAGTCACAGAGGAATGGAAAAAATCCTGTGCTATGTTATCCTATCCTATTTTCAGTGACAAAGCAGTATTAATCATGTGTCTTCTTTGTATATTATTTATATATTATATATCTAATATCTAATATTTATTCATCTATGTAAATGTATATATAGACAATGTGTATACAAACACCATTCATATCGTCCTTCCTAGGAGTATTGTGCTCAAAGGAGTATGATTCCTTAAATGACTACATGAATAGCAATCCTACTGTGCTGCAAAATGTGGCAGAAAGAAGAATCTAGACCGGCAAAATCTGTTGTCCTCAAAGCCATTCATTTAGGAACATGCAGCTGTTCTGCTGGAAGAGCACAAGAGACAGATTAGGGAGATGGCAGGTGGAAAGAAGTGCCCCAGTTTGAATGTTAACTAACTTTGTTTTCTCCTTAGGGGATACGGCATTGGCGTAAGGCTGATTGATGATTTTTTAGCTCATTCAGCTGTGAAAAAGTGCCGCAGTTATTCTGAAACCGCAGACATGATTGCACAGGTAAATAACATTTACATTCTCTAGAGCTTCATCATCTTCAGTGGTCTTAGCTGTTCCCTCCTCCTCTATCAGTTTGCTCCAGAACAGTTATCTACATTTTCTGCTATATTGGGATTTTCTTATCAATAATCACTCATCTCTACAATCACACCCATGCTTCCATGGGTGAAATACAGCCTTTTCCTTATCTACAACTTTATATTGACTAGTAGCTCATTGAGGTTGGCCTTGAGAGGAGACATCCGTTTCTAGGCCTGTAGCGTAGTGCTACATCAGGCTGGGAAAAAACCAACATTCAACAGAACACAAAAATTGAGATGTTTAATGAGAAAAGAATTTTGTGGATACTCTTGATAAACCCACAATGGTAAGTTTACCACAAAGGGTCGTCAAAACCACGGAATTGGTTCACATGGGTATTAGTTTTATATCTGAGTTGAGGACGGAGAACACAAAATGGGATACCACCTGTGAGAGGTTGCCAACCCCTGACCTAAACTGACCTTAAAGTCAGTTGCTGAGCTGAAATTAAAATTCTTCTATTCCTAGTAGCCTATGAGGCGTTTTGACATTAGAAGAATTAAAAAGTTTCTTTTTGTTTGGTGCAACTTAAGCTGTTTTCTTCTACTCTTGTCAGAGAATGCAGCAAACAAAAAAATGATCCAGTTTTAAGAAACTTCGAATTGTATATTCCCTCACTTTTTTTCTTTTTGTAGGAGCATAAGCCTTAACCATCTCATACAGATCTTAAACGTTGATATTCTCACTACTGCCATCTGAATCTCCTCAATATCTCCATAATTATCTTAGATGGTTTTTAACCTTAAAATGGTAGTATTAAGAATAATCTGCAGGATTTTCTGCAAAAGAAAGACTCACTGGTAGCAGAGAAGAACTGTAAGAAAGGAAAATGAGAGGAACATTTTCCTCACTAACCACAAATCTAATAATAAAACCAAAAAGATAAAATCAGAGTGGGTACTTCTGCCTCCTTTGGTGGAAATTTCCCTTTTATTGAGTAGTCTTTCTCATGACTGTCAGACGAGAAAGATCTAGGAGGAAATTTAGCAGTATTAAGAAATACATGGGTTTCTAAAGATGTATTTTTGACCCCATGGGCAAGTCAGAGTACCTGGGGAAGCTCAAAGAGAAATCCATAGCATGTCCAGCCCCTTTAGACAGCTGAGTCACTGTAAAAGCAATGGTAGTCCATAGATATTAATTTAGCTCAGACTAATACCTGCTCAGGTCGTGGTGAATGATCCCTTTTATCCTTTATGATTTTCAGCTATGAAGTGTTGCCAGTAAAGATACGCCTGGCATTTCCCAATGGTGAAAATTAACCACACTTTTTAACAAAGAACTATTTGCTAGGTAGTCATTTTGATTTAAGAGGAGAGATCAGGACATCAGTTAGTTGAACTGAGATTCATTTCCATTGGCTCATTTTGGCAGACAAAAATACGTGTGGCATACTTTTTGATTGCTTGAGAATTACCAGTAGCATAGCTAAATGTGAGCATTATGTTTAACTGCCAGCTACAGAACTGGGAAACAGCAGGTTTTCTATATATTGAACTAAGGCACTAGTATATGCTGGTTATATGGGAGTATCTCAGTTCAAAACGTACGTGGGTATTATCAGGTGATGTGTGATCCTGCTCACCTGACATCAACCATGTCAGAAATACCTACGTTACATCTGACTGAGAGAGAGGGACAGAAGTTATGTTATCATTCCAGAATGCTTGTCTGGAACATAGAGGAACTGATGGCTGTCACGGAAAGAGAGAAAGAGCCTCTTTGCATTTGCTGTTGCTGGTAGGGCTATAAAGTGTGCATGTGCACAACACATGTACACCGTGATCTGCCAAAGTTTAAAGCAGAAGCAGGTGACATTACTGAAAGCCAGCCAGATCCCATTAGCTCATAAAAGAGTGGAAAGTAAATTTCTTCCTGAAGTAAAATGTATTTTGGAGTCTCAAATCAGGATGATGTATAACAAAGCTCCTCCTTTGGAGGAGCTGAACCTGGGTAGAGGATCCACTGGAGACAGTGAGGGCAGCTGAAGGAAAACTGTGAGACAAGCAGCAATTCAATCACTGCATTAAAACACACTGTCTCATTAAAAGAATGATACCAGGCTGCAATATCACGTTTTTGTTCACTTTTATGTTCTTCTTCAGGTGGTATTTGTACTTTATTTTCTCTGGATTTTCATCTATATGACAGATATCTAATTTTTGGGGTCTTGTTCCTCACAGTTCCCTTATTTACAAACGCTTTAGTACAGTTGAACCATCATTCTTAAGTACAGGGGGTTCAGCAACAAAATACAGTGAGAAATTAACCATCAAAGTAAGCAAAAAGATACTATTTCTCTGCAGGCTATACTTTAAAAAAAGAGACTTACTGAGAGAAATAAAATTACTTGGAAAGATTAGAACAAACTTTAAAGCACACAGTCTCTTGAAAAGACTTTAGCAAACTAACAGAGGAGTTCTGTAGTAGGCGTATAACCTTTCTGAGGCAAAAAGTAATATGGAAAGCATTTTCCTATTTATCCTGGTTTTGGCTGAGACAGAGTTAGTTTTCTTTTTAGCAGCTGGAAGAGCTCTGTGTTTTGGTTTTAGTCTGGGATTCGTTATGAGAAGAACGCTGATAGCTCACTAATGTTTATAGTTGGCACTGAGATCTCAAGGACTTTTCGGCTTCCCGTATTTTTGCCAGTGTGCAGGAGCACAACAGGCTGGGGGTGAACATGGCTGGGACAAAGGGCCCACAATTCCTCTTATGATTTGAACTTAGACTTCGGATTGAGGCCTAAATTGGCCAATGAAGTATTCCATATTGTGCAGCATCATGCCCAGTGTATAGATGAGAGTTGGCCAGGAAGATTTTTTTCTCTCTCTCTCCCTTTGGATCTATCTTTTCTTGGGGCTCTTCCTCTTCTGGGGCTGCGTTTTTTTAGGATCACTAGCTGAGACAGATTAGGCATTGGTCACTGGGTGGTGATGGGCAGTTGCACTGTGCATCACTTGTTCATATATACTATTATCATTTATATATATTATCATATATTATTATATATCTATTATCATTTTCATAATTATTGCTTTTAATTTTATTTTATTTCAATTATTATGCTGTTCTTATCTCAACTCACAAGTCTCCTTCCCTTCTCCCCTTCAATTCTCTTCCCTGTCCCCAGGGGTGAGGGAGGGTGAGCAAGCAGCTGCATGGGGTTTAGTGGCCGCCTGAGTTAAACCACGACAACATTTCTTTGGAAAAACATTTTTTAAATAGTCTTCAAGCACATTTGTCTGAGGCACATACCAACAATACACATGTAAAATAACCCAGCAAGTAACTGCAAATACACTGTTAAAGTTGTCGGTTCAGAATTACACGGCTGTTTACATGATCTCTTTAACTCCTCAGCAGTCGTGTTCTCAGCCAGAAGAAAGCGCTTCGATACTTAACTGCACTAACCCTTTTTAGGTAGAAATCTCTTCGAGGATGAGTGTAAAACCAGTTAAAAGTTAAAGTAATTAAGGCAGTTAAAGAGTTCATGTAGTTGGACCCAAATGTCCTGTAAACATAGCAGTTATCCTGCAGTCCTTTGGAAAGCAAAGGAGAAGTCTGTAAGATCAAGCTGTGGGTGTTCGCTGTGGAAATGGAAAGAGATGAAGCAAAGGAAAAAACATAAAACAAGGAGTACAAAGCCAGCTTGCCATAGTAGGAAATAAATACCGGAGGAAAGGTGCACATAAGGCCATGACTGAGGGCTTAAAACTTCAACCACTGGTTCAGACTATAAAGCCTGGGATTTACTACTGGCTTATATGGGGTTGGAGAAGGGCCAACATGTTTTGATGACAAACCAAAGTGAGTCCTTTACACTGAGTTCCCACGGCCCTCACTGACTTCTCGTGTTGTGCTGTGACTTTGTATGGTTGCAGTTGAGGTAGCATCAAAAAAAGATAAAAGAGGCCATGTGAAAGTAGGGTTTCTGCTCACTGGAAAATTGGGATAAGAAAATGGAAACCAATTGAGGAATGAGTGGTATTAAGAACAAAGATCAGCTGAAGAAGTAATGTCCAAGACTCGATTCAGAATTTGGATTTGAGTATAACTGAGGATTACTTTTGAAATGAGGGTGATAGTTTTGTTCTACAATCCTACAAAACCAAATTTTCACTTCAATTCCTTCTCACAAGACCTCTAGCATCATTGATCTGATTGAAAGAGATGCAAAAAGTAAAGTTTCTGGTTTTAGATGTAATCCTAGAACAATGGTACCTTCTATAGCTCAATGTCACCATGCCCCAGGAGGTGTCTGTGTGTGCTACTGGTGGGAGCAGCCAGGCCACGCTCTCTGGTCCACAGTGAGTTAGTGCTGGCTCCATAGCTGTGTTAATACTGTATTGTGACTAAAGATACATCCCTTGTTGAGGAGCCATGGCGGGAGAGATGGGCTTTATTGTGGAAGCTCAGTACCCCATGAATGCAGCTTGTAGAGAGGCCCTTGGAGACCACCAGGGCTGGGGCAACCCAACTGTGTCACCTCTAAGCCCAGAGCTGTAGGACAAGAGATATGGTTCCCCTTTCCATGAAAGATCCTATCACACAAGGTCCCCGTATATTGACATATGGCCCGTTTGAAAGTTTGACAGAAGCTGGCAGATCTTACGGAGCTGGTAAATGGTGCTTTTCAGATCTCAACAGTGAGTGAAATGCATACAGCACGTTGCTCTGCTAAGTGGTAGACAGCAAACTGAAAAACGAAGTGCAGCACTGTAAAGAGTAAAGAAAAGTTTGTGAGTATGTGGAATCAGCAACAGATGTCAAGATCTTTAAAGCATCTTGCTTTTCCCAAACTCTGACTGTGGAAAAGTACTCGGAAAAGTATGCTAGCAAAAATGTTATTTTGGCTGCCTTTCCCCTTCTTAGCAGATTAATTCTGGTCTTTCCTTAATCTTGTTATTATGTAATCTGAAATTATGGTTTCAATTTTTTTAACAGTCTGTATTATCACTTTGCAGCGTTATTTAAGCATACAAAGTTTTGTAGTGAAAAGTCTTCAGTAGTATATAAAGGGACCGATAAGTTAGTAACCTCCTAAATATTTCAGTAACTCTAGACTGTATTTGAGCACCATCAAAATGTTAATGAATTTTTTTCTTGCTGCTTGGGAGAGATGGGATGCTGGTTGAGATTTTGAAAAGGGGCAGTGGTACATTTTTGATTCTGACTGCATAGATTTCTTGTTTGACATTAAGCAGTGCATAATCCCATAGAGTTGCAAGTAACATTTTAAAAAGAGAGATTTTGCTTTATATGGCTGTCATTTTGACGGTGAGCCTATGTACATGTCTAAATAGATATTCTTTTTTTTTCCATTTCATATAGCTAGAAATGAGACAGATTTATGGATGCAACTTTCCAAACTGCTCATTTGTTTTCCTTCACTGTCTTTTGGAGTCACAAAGAAAAATTGAAAAGACCTTTGTTTTACCCTCTGAGAAATTGTATATGGTAGTTTTAAAGGAATTTTTGTCCAGTCATAGCCTGAATTAAAAACAAATGTTCCTATCTGTTCATTGAATTACTTATCTATGTACTTACATTATTTTTCTGCCGAGACGTTTTACAATTTTCACTTTGTAGTTCTACAGTTTTGCTCCATTGCAAACCAGCTACTGGTTTTGCATAGTTTCCATGCAAGTTCTCTCTTACACAGGAAATTTTGATAATAGATTTTGAAGACATTCGTCATATCGTAATGCGAAGTACAGATGAAACTAAACTGAAAGCATATGAGGGCCTAGCATGGTTAACTAGTTTTTGTTCTTGCGACAAAGACTTGAAGTTTGAAGGAGCAGCAGATGTGTAGAGGAAGAAGAGTTAGGAGAATTTAATGAGAAAATTGGGTTGTTACGGAGGACATGAAATAGTAAACTGAGGGACAAAGCACAGAGAATTGAGCAGAAGTTTCCTGTTTATTTGTGCACTCATATTTTGATGGACATCAGTGTTGATGCAAAATCTAAATTTTCCAAGAGAAAATATTAATTCTGCTGTTTGAGTTTTTTTCCCAGTTTGTTTTGGATAGTGTTGACAATAGTCTTCACCTCTTTCTGAGCTGCCTTGGTAGCCGGAGAACTTTAATTCAGGGACAATGTTGATGCAAAACAGCTTTTGCAATAGCTACTTGAAGGACAGGGTTAAATTTGACAAAACCAGACTCCAGTTGAAAACATAGGGTCAAACTGGCTTTTATTTTTGTCTATTTTTATAGAAATATTCCAGCATCTACAAGGCAATTGCATTAAATCACAGACATTTTGGTAAGACAAGTTGGGGTAACTTAGCCCTGGGAACGAGGGTCAGGGAGAGCCTTAGGCTCCGTTCAGGCACATGTTGCAGCACTAAGCGTTCAGCAGCTGCTCTTGGAGGTGGAGACACTCAACGTGAGTTACCTGTGAACATGAAACAGAGTAAGGATGAGGAGAGAAGAACGCGCCTTGGCTTTACCCCTCCATGATAAAGGAGAAGGCCAGGCTGGGAACCACTCCTGTTTCAGACGGTCCTGACTACTCAGGTGCAGAGCCTTGAGCTTTCTCCTGAGGAAAAAGAGGGTGCCAAAAGCCCAAAGTAGGATCCCTCTGTCCTCTCACCTTTCCCTCTGCCAACTATGCTTTTACTTCTGGGTTGCAGCTCTTATATCACAGTGGAGACCTCATCCTTACATCAACCCACTTGTCTCCCATATTCCTTGATCAGCTCATTAATCTACTTAGTGTCCTCCTCTTTGCATCCCTACTTGCTTTGGTTTTCTGTGGTACCGGAGAGGAAGGAGATGGAAAGATGCCTTTAGGAAGGCCCAGGCAGTGGGGTCTCCTCTCCTCTTGCATGTGGGGAGGAGCTGAAATGGGGCTGAGCAGTAGATGTTGGGGCATCTCTCCTAAAGAAAGAGAAAAGCAGACAAATGGGAAGGGACGTGTACCCTGGAATCAGATAGTTGCTCTACCAGGAGAGGAGCCAGAGGAGAAAAATGTTTATGCACCAGACAGGGTGTCAGTCATGCCTGCTGTTGTGACTCATTCTGGCAGCGTTGCCTCTGTGCTTTCAGGTGCAGCAGGTACATTTAGGCATATAACATGTTCTAGGTCTGCTGCAAAGTGGGTCAGCCGGGATAAAAAACTTGAAAACATTTGCTCAAAGGCCACAAGTTCTTCAAAACACAGTGAAAATTCTAAGCAGACAGCGGATTTAGCTCTTGGATTTTATTTTTAAAAAGACTAATGGTCTGTAAATGCAGATTATTTTTTTTTCTGCTGAAGAAGCGCAGCGAGTATGAGAACAGCTGGTTAGTCAGCCTGGTGTGTTGATAAGAGCCTGATTCAAGCAGAGCAAAAACATGATTCTTTGCAGACTCAGGGAGACTGGCAGTAAAAGCTGCATAAAAGCCTGCCCAGTCACCCCAGGGAAAGAAACTTGGCAGAAGCTTTGTTCTCCTTTTATACAGTGTTTGCAGAGACTCTGGACACCCTCTGTGGGAGCCACGTGGTGAATTCCAAGTGGGTGAGGTAAAGCGTAGGGCTCTGGGGTGAAACGCATTTGTCAGAAGCACTGGTTGTACAGTCGCCTCGCCCGTGTTGCCTGCTGGTTCCTCTTGCTCCAGATACTAAGTTTCCTAAGATATTCAGAAAAATTAACGTCAGCCTGCTGCAAAAATATTTTCTTGTCTTAAAATGTGGAATTTCCTTCCAGGCCCTCTGCTGTAAACTGGCTGCAGGCCCCATACAAACAATGTTACATGGCTCTAGAGGCTGCACGCAGTGCCTGAAACCCACTCAAAACAGGAGCTTTATAACCATACAGAGATAAATTCTTGGTGGAAGCAGATAATACCAAGTACTCTACAGAGGCTAAACATCAGTGATGCATTTTCATTATTTTAACAAATCACTAACAACTGACTATGTTTCAAAATAGCATATTATTTTTTAACAAAACCACAAAAATGCCGAACCATTTGGTAATTTCAAGTTCTTGGTACCCTACTCTTTGGCTGTAAGATTTGTCTAAAAAATTACCTGGCACCTCACTGTCATTGGAGGTCACTGCCCCATGTCCCTGGCAGATGTCTCAGGGACTAGAAGACAAGGGCTGATCACTGTGACCATCCGTGATGTTCTAGGTACAACAGGAGTCCAAAGATGCTGAGATGCTTTGAGTGACCACTGATGCCTCAAAACAATGCTGTACCTGCAAATGGCCTGGAAATGACCTGGAAGCAAAACCTTCACTCTCTGTGGGCTGTCAGAAAGCCACACACATCTTCTGTTGTTATATTCACACCTTTTAAACGGTGTTACTTTATGATTGTCTCTTGATTCACATAGGATAAGCATACTATAGCACCTTTTACATGAGATATTGTTTAAACCCTCTGGTAGAAGTCATTATACATCTTCTTTTGCTGTCAGCTCTTGATCTGGAGCCAGCGACGTTAGTAGAGCATGAACCCTAGGTGCCATGGAGGACTGCAGCCTTTTCACTGATGTAGGTAAATAATTTTGTTCCGTCCTTTTGGAGCAAGTCTGTAACTGTGAGGGAACGTGATGAAGAGGAAAGGTGCCATTGTGAAAAAAAAAAAGAGATGAAACCAGCTAGAAGCATGCTACATTAGCAAGATACAAAAAAGCTGAACATATATTTGATCTATGGTATTTCCCTTCTGTCTACATAGTCCAGTGTTGTCTCTCTTTCCTCACTAGTTTCTTTCTGGCCGCCTTCAACTAGCCTATGAATGGTGCTGTAATGCTGTTTGCTGTTGCTGAAAGAGTAGAGCTGGGACGCATCTTCCCATGCCTGAAAAGCTGGCAGGGGAATTGCTTCTGGCTCCTTGTTCTCGAAAAAGCACTTCAGGTTTCGTTCGCTCAACTTGGTGGCATACAGCTCGAAAATCTGCTCCAGTTGCTCCTTCTCCTTCTCCGCATACACCCTCCAGAACATCAGCTGGAGGTGGCTGACTTTCGACTGGCAGCTGGCACAGCAGGTGGTTAGCAGGGAGAGAAGAGCCGTGGTAACTATCACGCACCAGCCTAAAATCTGGGAAAACAAAAGATAGTTCAGGGACAGACGATCTCGAATCAGACCTCAACTACAAGACTGTATGAAGAAAAATCTGAGAGAGGTCTACGTGATCAGTCAAATAATGTTATGGCTGAATAGTGCTATGCAGAAAACAGATCAGACCTGAGAGCAGGAGTAGTGTCTGATGAGTTTATTGCACAGCTATAACCATCTGGCATGTAGGGTATGAGAATTGCTCGCTGGATTCTGTCACACAGAGGGAAGAGTGTATAGGGAATATATCACAATCACTGGAAGGGAAATGTTTTTCTATCTCCTGAAAGCGTTACATAAAATTACCCAGCAAAAATTAGGATTAAGACACAATTCAGAATTGTGACGAACTACAAAAGCAAAAAGAGTAAGTAACTTTTGTCCCAGATCAATCAACCTTTTAAACTCTGACCATTTTTAGATGTGTTGTTTTCAGACTTCTTTTTAATTAAAAAAAAAAAACCAACACAAAACAAACAACAACTAGAAATGTTGTAGCATTAATTAGCTAACAAGAATATAAAAGATAGTCTTAAATTTAAAAAGCTTTTCCCAAATTCTTTTACCAGGAGGTTCACTGAGCTATTCTTGTGAACCTTTTTTGACTTTGATGAATCAGCCCTTTGTAGTGGAAAATAATTTTTATGGCAAAGCTAGTTTAAAATTATCTTCTTGCCCAATCCTGTAAGAATGCTGGAAGGAGAGGGCATGAGAAAGAAGAAAGAATGTGTGCATTGGCAGGTCTATGCTGGCACTGGAATAGAGCTCAATTCATCTACACACTGATTAGAAATAGTTGCTGTATTTTCAGATAACTTTGTTTTTGCTGAAATATGCTTTTCCAGCATGATTCACCTTTTTATTTTAGCAACTTCAGAGTTTTGACAAAATTACGTTAGGAACATATTAAAGGAAAGAGCTGCTTCCAGGGTTAGAGAAAGGGCTGGATGGAAAAATGTGCTTGGTTTTGTTATTGTGGGATGTTCTGCTTTAAGGACAGCAAAGATGTGAATGCAATTTTTTTAAGTCTAGTGCCACTAGCCTAACCAATAGTTTTACCCACCTATTCTACTGCAATGCGTAACATTTGCAAAAAAAACCCCCTTGTTTTCAAACAGTGGAACAAATTCCAGTGTGGAACAAATCTCCTAGGTTTCAGAGACCCATATGAAGTGGAACTGATTTCCCATGCTTTAATGGTGATGATATGGAAAGCTGCAACCTTTCTCATGTGAACACTTGCACTGATGTTAGAAAAATAACTGCCAATAAAAATCTATATTTAGCTGAGAGAATATAGAAAGTTTCCTCAGGGAAATATGTGAAACAGAAGCTTGACAAACAATTATTCTTAGGGACTAGTATGGAAGAATAGCTTCGCTTTCTTTTGTTTTTCCAGTCACTTTGTACTGACTTGATTTCTATGGGTACTTGAGAAACTGCTCTTTTTAGCAACTTTTCACTTTCTTGCAGCTTGGAGAATGAATTCTCATGCTACAAACTCAGTCACTGCTCTTTCACTATTTCCTATGCATACAACTTAAAGTCTTAAGCACTATTTGTTATTTCCTTCTGAAACTCTCAAATAAATAGCTTTGTCTGCAATGCAGGATTTGTCTGCATTCCACTCCTGTTTGCATGAGGATTGAAAATAAAGCTGGCTGTTAGGGAGGAAATGGTTCCATATGGATACAATCGTCTGACAAGAACTTGCTGGCTCCACAGTGTTTTTCCTTCTTACTGACAATCATC